CGAAATAGAAAAGAGTGAGGTGCGCAGGAGAAGAAGAACGGGTTTCGGGAAGAGTATGGGAAAGGCGGTTCTGCAGCAATACACGAAGGCGAAGACGACACTGCGTAGAGTCAGAAGCAGAAAGGGTCTTGTTCCGAAATCGCGTTGGGGGAACGAAGGTAACGTGATTGTGGAGGGTGACAGTGGTGGAAGAGGGAGAGGGAGTGGGAGTGGGAGTTGGTGTAGGTTTTGCCTTTCGCGGCCCAAGGTGTTGGAGTCCCCTGACGAGTCTCCTACCAGTGATCCCAATAACCCTAATTTCACTCGTCTTATGCTCAAGAATTTGATTGAAAACAATGATTTCTATTGCAAAGACTGCAACCCCCACTTGGATTAGTTACTGTCGTTTGGGGGGTTGCATCAAATGGTAGAGCTGATTGAGAGGTTGGAACAGTGTAATGGCTAACCCTCATTTGAATTTTGTATTCATTTTGAGTAATGTGGTACACAAGTTATACACAGCCAACTTGCTGCCTTATTACAGATTAAAGAACTAAATAGGTTTATATGGATTGGAGAATGTCAGAATGAAAAACAAGGGTTTTATTTGTAACAGAGGATTGGTTTGGTGGATCAATTGCTGCTGTTGGAGAGGTTGATGATGAATGTTGGATTCTTTGACATTCTCGAGGCTCTATTTGTTCTCAAACGGAGAGGGGTGTACATATCAATACTGAAAAGTTTTTGAAGCCTGCTATTTTCGTAATCATTTTATAGGTGTTGGGGCTTTTTGATTGCTTCCTCTTGCATACAAATTTTTCATCTGTCTCGTGAGAGGTCTTGAGTGATTTTTTTTTTTCTTTTCTGAATAGCAATTTAAACACAAATTGTTCTTCTCTGATTCTTTTGATAGTTCCTGCCCTCGCGCATGTGTTTGATGGTCTTTGGCAATGGCTCCCATTCTCGAGTCTGCATATATTTGAAAAAGTTTAGAGAACTTGGGAAGCAAAATTTACAAGTCGTTTTGTATTGTAAAGATGGACAATGTTGGATAATAATAGATTGGTCTGGCATATGTTTGTTGCTATAGAAGTTTTTTTTTTAATACACTTTATATGTTTTCCGGCATCAATGGATTGAGAAGTAGTATACATAAATAGTATTGTATCTTCTCTTCCGGTTGTTGAGTTCTCTTTGGTTCCATGCAATTCTTCTCTACATCGAACAATTTTGTGCTCTCTTCTTTTTCATTTGGATGCTAATATCCAATTTCAAGGGATTGAAATTGTGAACTTCTCTAATTAATGGGTTCATTTCACATACATTTACATCAAGGTTATTATCGGTCATTTTAGTACATACATAATTTTAGTATTTCATCTTCAGAAAATTCATATAGCTTTTTCCAGAAAATTTTCTTTGCTCCAATTTATTCCAGCCAAAAGCAAACATATGGCATTTTTCATTAGGCAGGGTGGGGTGAACTAAAGAAATTAAAAGCGTGGTTTGGTAGGCTTTGTCCTTGTGGTCTTGTGGCTTCTGTCTGAAAACTGAGTTCAAGAATCAAGGTACACATATTACCATGGTCCAGCAGTTAGTTATTCTGTAAGAGATGTGATCTGCTTATTTCCCAAACTTGATGGTGGAAAGCATGGGAGGTACACCTTCATAGAATGCATTTTTAATCTATAGCAAAGCTAGAGATTCCTTTAAATGACTTTATATATTTTAATTTGGAAGCATTTCTAAGCACCACGTGCTTTATGATGTCTAACTCAGTCCTTTAAAAATTAAGATATCTCTATTTTAAGTTCCTCTAATTTTTGTGTCGTAAAGAATTTAATAGGTTTACAAACTTTGTTTTCCATGCTCTCAAATTTAAATGGCTGCTGATGTTTACGGTAGTGTTAGGCCCAATTTCTTTTGCTTCACTGCCCCTTTGTATACTTGGTTTAGAGGATTCGTGTGTGTGCTGCTGTTCTTCGTCTCTTCTAGGATGGGTTACATTCTAGATGAGATAGAAAACAAGAAAACCAACAAGAAAAAAACGAAGAAAAAGGTAGTTTTGTTTCTTGATTTCTCTTTCTAGTATTTGTTTCTGGCATACAACTGATATAAGTCGTTCTCATCTCTATTTTTTCTGGCATATATAACATTCCCATCAATAATTTAAAGGTTGCTGCAGTGCTACCCCATAATGAACTCTGTTTGGGGGAAGGGCGAAGATTTGCCACGCTACTGCGTTTTTTTGTTGCGCTTTTGATTATTTTTCTTGCTTTTATTAAAAATTTGATTGTCTAGATTTTGATTTTCTTAATTATAGAGTGAGCAATAATGTAATGGATGCATTTTATTTTTCTCGCCAACAAGGTGTCTTACCTGAAATGATCACTTGTGATTGAGGATTTGATAATTTTGTAACAGATGTTATAATATCAAATATTAATCCTCCCGTGTCAAGCGATTCCTCTATTATACATATATAGTTTCTTATATTACATAATTATCGTGGGGTATCTGATTATTTTAAATTTGGCACAATCTGTTTTTGAATAGGAAATGTAAGTTAGCTAAAATGATCTCATAAGTTGAGGTTATCTTCCATCTTGATAAAGAAAATCAGTTATGTTGTTATACTATCACTTGGTTCTGATTATCAGGCAAAGCTTGCAGGTTTTGACTAACAGATAAGAAATATGGTATCCTATCCCATCCATAGAGAATTTATACATGTGAGATTCTTTTATCCCTAAAGCTTTAACTTTTGGTTACAAACAGAGGAATCCCAAAAGTAAAAGCATTTTATTCCAATAGATGGACGCCAAGCTGGAACACAATTATGTAAATAGATATTATTAAAATTTCAGGGCATCAACATGTTAAAGGAAAACAAAAATTCAAGATTTTCGTTTTGGGGAGGCGTATCTCGAATTGTGGGAGGCAAAATATTCCGAATCAAATGCGATTAAACTACCATCAATAGGAAGAGCAATCTCTGAGTGGTTGTTTACGCGAAATGTTTTGTGCTAGATAGCTTTTCTAAAATAAGTTAGTATGGAAACCAAATTGGTACTAAAACAAGGTGGTCGGAATCTGAGTCACGTTTAAATCAGAAGCAAGCACAAAACATAAGGCACCAAAGCAAGCTGTAATGGACGGAGGACTAATTTTGTGACCTTCGATGGTCATAATAATTGAACCGATTATAATAACACTACTTTAAAGAATTGTCTATTCAATGTTTTTTTCCATAAAATGTTATATAATTTGTATTGAAGTTCATTACTGTGAACATTAATGTTTTTGCTGACGTAACAATATCAATTGAGTTGTGGGGTTTTGAGAAACGAATAACGATAAGCTCTAGAGGGTAGTGGGGAAAGCATGAGAATTAGTGGAAGATCTGAAAGTTGAACAAATAAATCAATGAAGCAGATATTAATTTGCAGATGGGTGGGGTATGGTCGATGATGGATTAGGGAACAAGAAGCAAGAGAGTGGGGGGACTTTTTTGATTCATAATTTTTATTATTTATTCATAGAATCATAAGAGAGCGGGGAGACTCAAACCAAGGATAAACAGTATTTTTTTCATATTAATTAGGGATACGCTCTTTCTAGACGATTTTGTTCAAAATACTGTCGAACAGTAGATATAGACACTCTACCAAGTAAGAATTTGAATTTTGGTTCATCACATCAAAGGAGAATGATTTCTTCAACTTGGTTGGTATAATATTCTTTAGACTACTAAATAATAATTATGAAATTACAAATAATTCTTATTAATACATTTTTATCATAATTTGTAATACACTCTAACCGTAATTTTAATAAAAAAAAATTATTTATTCTTTAATAAGTGTCTTGAGGATATTAGACAGCAACACCCTTTAATATTAAAACTGTAATTAACTTTTGCTGGATCAAAACCATTGAAGATTCCGTAATTAGCTTTTGACGGTAATGTTTACTATAATTTGTTCAACTTTATACAACAGAAAGAAGCCAAACACTTGTTTATTTTATTTTTTTCTTATCTTTTATTATATGTACTTAGAGAAACTTACCTTGACAATATTTCAAATCAAAAGCTGTTATACACATTGTTTGGTTGATTATACTTTCTTTTTTTTAAAACCATATTATAAATGTGAAGCATTATTTTATAAAAAAAATTAATTAATTACTTTTAATAAAAAAATTATAATTATATTTTTTTATCTGCAACATCTACATTCGAGATCTTATTAAAAAAAATCTGAAGTTAGTTTTACTTGAAACAAAAATATGTTATAAAGTGGAAGCCCTTTCTTATTTTGAAGCTTGCAGGTCGCAAGTACCACCTCATGACAGCAACCCAACGTGCACATTACGCTATCATTGAATAAAACAGCTTCCAATAAAGATACACTCTGCTGATAAGGCCAAACCTCCACTACAGAGATGCTTCCTTGTTTTCAGTATATTATTATGTCAGTAAAACATAGATGCACCGTTAATACATTAGTAAGAGTATTGTTAATGTACATGTATTGTAAATATATATCTGTAAAGAAAAGGGGGAAACTTCACCACACTATTTTAAATACTTTTAATATTTTTGAATTTCCACTTTAATAATTAATATTAACTTATGGGAATTATGGAAATAAACATTTCAATTTAACAAATTTATTAGAATTGATGTGGTGATGGAAGTTTGAATAATTTTCACGAAACTTAGATTTAAATTTCATTGCAGCTATTATACAAAAACTGGTCCTGCCATGGGTAAAATATATAAAGCACTGAACTCAAATTTTTGTTTTAAAAACATGATATTCATTTAATAAAAGTAAAATAATAGCATTGAATATATTAAATTTTATACAAAAAAAAGTCCAAGACTCCTCCAAGTAGACATACTCAACCGCCCCTAAGGTACCACCTCTGCTTTAATTTCTGGACCATCGTAATTTATAATTAATAGCATAGTTTTAAAAACCGGACCGGTCATCGAACCGGTTAAGGTACTGGGTCAGTGGGTCAAAGGTTGAACCGGTGGGTCACTAGTTGAACCGCATGACTCGATTTTTATTTATTTTTATTAAAAAATATTTATATTAAATATATTTTATACTTATAAATTTTAATAAATTTATATCTTATTTTAAATTTCAATTTTTCTATCTTATTTAAAATTATTTTTATTTTTATTTTGTAAAAAAATACATAAAAAAATTACATGTTAAACGGTATATTAATACAAATTAAAAATATAAATAATATGTACATATATAATATGCTTGCAATTAATATCATAAAATAATATATGTAATATTTACATAGATATTACATTATTAAATATATAATTTAAAATTAATAATATACTATAAAAATTATTTAAGTTGTATATATTGCAAACAAATATATTAAAACAAGTAGTCATTTTTATATTTAATAAGACTCCTTGCTTTTTCATTAAGAGATTCAATTTTCATTATTATTTTTGTGATTTATGGTCCCTTAAAATTTTTTTAAAAAAAATAAGAAAAAAAAGTGGTTGAACCGGTTTGACCCACCGGTTCACCGGTTGAACCAGAAAATTGACCGGTTCAATCCGGTTTGAAACGGGTCGACTGCATAACCGATCCAACTTCAGATTCGGACCGGCTGGACCACCGGTTCCCGGTCCGACCGGCCGGGTCGGTCCGGGTTTTAAAACACTGATTAATAGCAATAATTAAATAAACAAATACTAAGAGTGAACCTTAAAGTGTTTAAATATAACAACAAAGTAAATACCGTGCAGAGGCTAATGATTCGCTGTATGTACTTTCCAAATTTCATGGTTTGATTGTTCGTCTGAGTTATGAATTGTAATGGAACACAATGTGGATAGCTTTGTTACTGTTACTTTTTATCCTCCCAGCTTTGAGGGCTGCACGTGACACCCATAACTCTTTTTCTTGTTGCCATTCGCTACGCTTCCTCTTCTATGGATATTGCTATCCAATGAAATAAATGAGTGACCCAGAAAAAGTTTCCTCATAGCACGGTAATAACCCTTCATTAGAATTTGTTAAGCAACATAAGTTTGGATTTTTCCTCTCTTAAATTTGTACCCAAAAAGGAAAGTCAGAGTTGAAGGTGGTGATGATGCAGATCGTGATCAGAAGCCGTAAAAGCTGCGTATTGCTATTTTTGGGTGCAATCATCAATTCTGTATTTACCAATTTAGAAACCAATCCATTCTTTAATAGTAGCAATATTATAATATATTATTATAATGATTGAATAATAATAAATATAAGTAAGCTCCATAAAGAAAGAGAGAGAGAGAGAGTAGTATTAAATTATTATATCATTGCTATTATGGCATGGCAGTATCTACTGTGTCTCAGTTGTAACTGCTGAGTTCTGTTCTGTCTAAGTCGTGAGCTTGGAGGGGTTCCTACTTTCAAGTTTCAACTTTTGCCGAGTTCCAATCCCAAAGATTTTGTGCTTCATCACAATCAGTCATATAGATGCAGCTGTAACAAAAAGTGGCAAGCTGGGATTTTTATTCCCAAGCTGCTTCTGCTTCTGTTAAAACCTTCTCTCTGTTCATTGGTTGGAATCAGAATTTTCCTTGCAAGGTGGGTTTCTCTTTCTGCATTTTCTTTCTCCTCAATTTAGCTGATTCTTTCTTCTTTTGGGTAGGTTTGATTACCAGTACCCCTTATCCACATGAATTTGCTTTTCTTAACGTTTCTGATGTATGTTTCTGTGTGTACTCCTTTTTGGAAAGGAAAATTCTTGTAAACCGTACTCTGGATATTGTTTCTGTCGTTTCCGGGTCAATTGAGGTTCCGTACCAATCACTGTTCCTGAAAATTAAAGTGGGAAAAAAGAAAAGAAAATTGCAAAAAAAAAAAAAAAAAAAAAA